CTGCCCCACCGAGACCCTGCAACAGTGGGATGTGCATCCCAAGACGCTGCGATGGCAGGATGCGCATCTCGAGGCCCCACGATGGTGGGATGCGCATCCTAGTGTCTTTACCTTCTTCTTGGATTTGAAGACGTTGCACCTGAAGACATTGCTAGATCCATCCCTGGCAATGTAGCTGAAGATCTTTAGATCCTGGGAGTCGTGAGACACATAGAATATCCTGCAAGGACAGCAGGAGGGGACGTTACCCACAGTGCCCAGGAGACAGGCCACAGCCAGCGCTTCCCAGGGCACGTCCTGGGGTGCTGGCAGATGCCCAGCCTCTGCAGCACATCCCTGCTAAAACCCATCAGGATTCTTTTTGGCAGCAGTTTTGCCTCGGCTGGGAAAATTAGCCTGCTGACTCAGCAACAGCAAGTATTTTGCAGAGGTGGTGCAGGGCTTTCTCTGCACAGCCCCCAGGAACCGAGCTGGTGGCCCAGGAGCACTCCAGGGATGGAGGAGAGCAAATCTCACTCTTCCACCCTGCCAGCTCAGAGAAATTACTTCACTCAGGTGCCTGCCACCCCCTCCCTGGCATGGCTGGGGCCCTTCCTCGCTCCCATTTGGCTTCCCCAGGACAGAGACGCCCCACACTCTCAGCTTTTGCCAATAGGATGGAGAAAGAGAGCTGGGGACTTTTGGAGAGCACAGTAAGCGAGGGGAGCTGCCCTCCATGGTCAGTGCCCAGCATGGTGCCAGGGCAGCGTGGGGTAAACAGCACAGCGGAGCCACCCAAGTCTCCATCCCTGCCCCAAGCAGGCTTACCTGTAGATAGGATCATGCATGACAAGCATTTTGTTCTCGTCCCAGGCCCATTCTTTTTTCTGCAACGAAAGAAGCTGAAAATGAGTACGTCAGATGCTGCCCTTGAGATCAAGGACAGGGCAGAGACAGCCCAGGGACAGACCCAGGAAACTCTTGTCACAGCTCTGCTACTGCTCCCCTGCAACCCCTTCCTGAGGGACGGGTCCTGCTGGGACCAGCAAAGTCCCACACCACCTCCCATGGAGACCCCCCCGGGTCCCTTCTACACCCGCATCAGGACCAGCTCAGCCACCCTGCGGGAACACGGCTCATCCGAGGCTGACCCCATCCCAGCCCACCAGCTTCCCCAGAAATTAAGGACCCTGCAGGCCCCTGCACCGTGAGGGGAGGGCTCCCGCTGCCAAGGCACCGCTGCCCCAGGGACCAGGGCTGCCTACCTTCTTCTTCTTCTTCAGAATGACCTTCACACCATCCACCGACACGATGAGACTCACTTTCTTCTTCTTGATATTCTTGGCTTTAAACTCATACTGTGAGGGATAGAAAACACTTGAATTAGTCTTCCTGCAGGAAAGCCCCAGGGAGGGCTGAAAAGGCTCTGAAGGGAAGGGGCGAGAGGCACAGGTAAAGATTTCCCAGACCCCACATGGCCAGGGCAGGACAAGGGGGGCTTTTTGCCCCGCAGTGTCCCTGTGCCCAGCATCTGGATGCCCGTGCCAAAGCAATCCAGGCTCTGGATGTGGATAATGCTTTGTTCAGCCCAGGATGCTGCTGGGATGTTACTTGTGTTTCAAAGGCACCAGCTCTGCCCCTCCAATGGGCTCACCTCCCCAGAGAGGGACCGCCACATTCCCAGCCCTGCAAGCCCCCCGGGCCCCACAGCCCCAGGGTTTGCCTCGCTGGCTTGTGGCCATGGCTGAGCTCTGCTAAGGGAAACATCATTTCAAGTGGGGCCTTTTAGGGGCTGGGTATAAAGCTGAAGATGATTGCTGAGGATTCTGTGAACCTCTCCAGGGTAAATGGGATAATGCAATTACCCGCTTTGATTAGAAGTCACTGGACAGGAAAAAAACTCAACAGGAACTTCCAAAGATCAGTGACTAAACACAACGCTCTGGCCCAGCACTGGGGAGAGAATGAGATCCCCCAAAATCCAGCCCCTTGTGCATTTAGTTTTACGAGCAGGGAGGGGGCTGGCGGGGGAATAAGCTAGATGAGCCGTTGAGGCCGAGCAACCTCCTGCTGTGGGACTTTGGGGGAGTCCCATAACCGGTGTACCACGGGTGCACCCACATCAGGTACCCGGAGTGCTGGTCCCACAGGCAGGCTGCCGGGCACAGCCGTGGGGCTCATCCGAGGACAGCAAAGCCCCACATCCTGCACCCCGCACACCCAAGGAAGAGGAATTTAATTAATCCTCTCATTATTTCCCCAGTGTCTCTGCAGAAGGAGCGCAGGGCAGGTGCCGCGACGCAAAGCCCTGCCTCTGGTCTGCGCTGAGCCTTGGCGTGACATTTCCAGCACCGCATGATGTATTAACTTCGGCAGCCAGAGCCAGCAGGCAGGGAAAGCTGCTGGCCCTGACCTGCAATCGTATGATAAAAGACCTGAAAGTACAATTCCTCAAAGCCATTTTAAAGTCGCCGATGGGGATGGGAGATACGGGTGACTCAGAGAACAGCGCGGGGAACGCAGCTCTGACCTCCCCCGTGCACAGACCACCCGGCTCCAGGGCTGAAGCCACGGTGATGGGCTGGAGAAAGCAAAGCTCAGGCTCTTTCCACGGCTACAGCCAGCCTCAAAATCCCCTGCACACACCCATATGCTGCTTGCTTCCTCCTGGAGAAGGGTCCCACCAGAGTTCCTCACCAAAGAGACCACCGGGTGGGTTTCCAAGCCCCATCTCTCGCATTCCCCTTCCCTGTTGTTACAAGCAGAGGTGAAACTGCATCCAAGAGCCCCTTCTCTGTGCCTTGCTAAGACACCAGACCAGTACTAAGATCACAGCAGTGTGCCTGGTACCTAACACCAGAGAAAAGTCTTGATTTAGCCCTGAAAAGGTGAGCTCCAACCTTGGAGTAATTAACCCAGCACCTTCTGGGGCTCTGCATGCGCTTTTCCCAGGAGCTGCAGATGTGCTGGATGTGCTCTGCAGCACCCGGAGCGACTGCACGGCACCTTGGGGAGTGGCAGCCTGATTTATCGGTGCTAACGACCATTGATTATAAACTTCAAGTTGCATTTCCAAGCTGCTGAAGCTGTGGGGTTTCTATTCTGGGCCACCCCAAGTGCTAATTAATGTGGGCTTGGAAGAGACAGCAACCCTGAAAAATATCTCAGGGTTAGAAAGACTATTTTTAGCCTGGTTTTTGGGTGAGTAACAGCCCCAGGACAGCAATGCAGATGGGCCAGGATGTCTCAGCAAAGATGCTACCCAGCCCCAGAGTATGTTTCAGGGAGAGAAGCAATGCAGAGATCCTCGGAGAGGCTTCCACAATCCCTGGCTGTAGGCAAGGGATTCTGCCTGGGCTCGCCCCATGCCTGGCAGAGGGTATGCTATGGAAAAAGCTGTTTTGCCATGCCACGCTGAAGCCAAATTCTCAGAAGGGCCGACTGCCCAGATTTCTTAAGCCCTTGCATCAATCCAGGCCTTTATCCCGACGCTGAGGCAAGGGCTAAGCTCCTTTGCAAGTCTGAGCCGTGCACTGAGAGCGTTATAGCACATCCTGCCCCAACCAGAGCTCGTTAGCGCAATCACTCCAACGAGGCCAGACGCTCTTTGGGATGCATTCCCCATGCAATGAAGTGCAGCTCTAACCAATAAAACGCTAATGAACTCATGCCCACTGGGGCTCTAATGAAACACTAACTGTAATTTAATAATAAATTAGCAAGGAGGAGGATTCAATAAAATGACAATTCAGCTGAGCCGCCTCTCGCATCCCTGGGCTGCGCCGGGCACGCCGAGTCCCACGGGCCAGGAGACGTGTTGCTCATTTTTGCAGACTTTCCAATTTGAGTTTGGGCAAATAGGTGTGAGGAGGGAGAAAAAGCACTCAGGGGAGAGGGGCAGCAGCCCACGCCACGCGGGAGCACGTACTGCTCCGCAGAGCCCGGCACGCCGTTCGTGTGCTGCTGCCCCCCCGGCTCGCAGCCACGGCGTGCGATCTGCTCTGCCCCGTTCACAAGGCTAATTCAGAAAACCAGGGGGATCTCACCCCTCTGCCCACGGTCTAAGGGAGCATCAGGTTTGCGCAGTTTCTTGAAGTGAGATCTGAGCCACAGAGCCCTTGCACACCCCATGCCAGGCAAGACCCCAGCCCACGAGCAGCAGGCTGGGCTGGGTGCCCTGTGTGCCCCCTGGCCCTCCCCAGCTCGGGAGGGGTAGCTGGCCCCATGCTACCTCCTTGGACTTCTCCAAAGCAACGGGAAATCCTTTCCATTAGCAGACCACAGATACCAGCATGGGCTTTTTGTCCCTGAAGACTGCTGGATGTCTCGGATGGTCTCACCAACGTGCTGCCCGTCAACAGGACCTGCCTTCGCTAACACCTCCCCTGCAAGCCCGTTCACTAACGGGGCAATGGGAAACCCCTCTCTGTGCATCTGATCAGGACCTCCCTGCCTTGGACTTACTCCTGACCATAGCCCTGTCTGCCCTGGGCACAGAGATCTGCTGGGGCGCCCACATTTGTCAACATCCCTCCTTCTGCCGTGAAACGGAGAGAGAAAGCTTAAGAGGGATGCAAAGCTTTAGGGGTTTAGCTTTCCCTGTTGTTGGGAGGAAAGCAGAGGTGATGGCAGGGTTGGAAATGCCGCTGAGGGGACTCCCAGACCGTCTGCACAGCCATATCCAAACCCAGCGGGCACCAGCTGACCCAGAGGAGAAGAAAACACGCACGCTTCCAGGGAGGTTGGAGCGATGCCATACAACCCTTGCTGGGAATATACCCTGCCTCCCCAACGGCACGTGAAAAATCACACAACCACCGCTAACGAGCTTCTCACCGAGCTGATGCAAAAGCGGGGTTTCTCAAAGCTGCTGGCGTGGGACCCGCTCCCAGGAGGGGATGGGGAGGCACGGGAGCCTGGCATCTCAACAGGAGCGGCCAGCAAGCCCCGGTAAGCGGGTGCAGGGAGCTGGGTGACAGCAATTCACCCCCCCCGCTCTCCAGATATAGCATTTTGATTTTAGGTGACTCTTACCCCTTCGTTTTCACACCATGTAGCATTTCATTGTAGTACTTCTAAATAACTAAACGGTCAGGAGGGCTTTTTGGGCTTTCAGCCCAGGCAGTTTGTCCATCTTGGGCACAATTCTGGATTTTGAAATATCTGTTGTAGCTTGGATCAATTATATTAATTCTTGGCTATAGCAATGTGGCAATCCCAGACGCTGTATCATTTCAGGGAAAGGCACAGAAAATGGAAAGAGAGCAACAGAGAAACCCTTCTGATGCTGGACTTGCACAGCTCCACAGCCGGTCTCCGACTGCAGCTCTAAGCACTCAACTAAAATTTTTACGGAAAGATTGAAAATGGACATTAGAGATGTGCCAAAGTTAAAAAAAAAATTATCAAGAAAAAAAGGTAAAAGTGGCCTCCCTAATGAAAAAGGAGCATTAGATCATTTGTGACCTCCAACCAGCTAAAAAGAGAATAAAGATTACCGCTTAACTTGACACTGCCCACAAAAAAACATGTTCATCTTCTCCATTAGATAAGAAACATGTATTTTGTCAGCATACAAGAGCCTTACCGCTGACCTCAGGTTAGTGGGAGTCTATTTTCAACATCTGTCTTTTATGCAGAGTTCACTATTTAAATAACTTTAGATGGAAAATCGTGCCAGCTGGTGTACGCACCATTGCCCAACACATTCCTCTTGGCAGAGTATTAAAATTGCCCTTTCTGGAGAAGAGAGTAACATATGTTCCGTAATAGAGAGCGCATGTAACCTTGTCAGCTTAGAGCAAAATTATGGATGAATCTGGGTGTGATGGGTATGTGTGAAAGGGGTGAAAAACTCGGCATCCATAGAAACATGTTCTATGTCCCCGTCGCACTGTTTTTACCCTGTAGAAGTGTAAGAAGACTTGTAACCACGCGCTGCAGGCTGGGTTAGGGAGAGCAAACGCTATGGAAGAGAGATGATGTCTGTCTAGATTCATCCTCCCCCCGCAGTCACAAGCATCTGAAAAAGGTTAACCTGAATAAAAATGCCCTCATTTCATTCCAGCCCATCCAACCTGCAGCGGGTACGGATTTAAGCATGCCCATTAGCTTGCTCCAGAAGTAAGGGAAGGTGCTGGAATAGCACCTTCATGGTCACACGATGCTAGCAGAATACAAAAAAATGGGAAATTTCTTAATGGAAGTGCACCCAAATGCATTGAGCTGTCCCTGTCCCCCTCCATCCCCTCCCTCCTCCAAAAAAACCCACCAGGTTTACAAGCTTGTGTTGGGGAAGGAGCAGTGATCTGAGAATTCAATTAATAGGAAAAAAGCAATTTCCACAAAACTCATTGCA